AAGACAGAAGTCAAAGAACAGTCTTTTCAACTACTCTACTTTCCTATTTTTAGATATGCATTTCTTTATTATCCTAAATACTACAAGCAGTAATAAATTCTCTGTTCTCCACTGTAATAATGACATTAAAATAAAATAATGTGCAATTAATATCCTCTTTAATGATCCCTTCTAGAAAGATAATCACTGCAACAACGATGTATCACTTAAGGACAGATAATTTTAATAACTTGAAAGACTACACTGAGGATCTCTCTGCATTGTTAACTTCAGATATAATACTTATTCTGGTCTGAACTGAGGGATACATGGAGAGCAACTGCTGATAATGGGAAATTATGCATTCCCTAGACACTGTCTGAAGTGTATTTCACAAGAGATGAGAGTCATGGGTTTCCATTATGCTGATGGGAACAAATAAAGTGACTCGACAAGGAGTGTGAGGCAAGAGGTTAAAGTGGTTATAACTGATTGAAACTTGGAATTCAGCTTCTACTTTGTTTTTTGGTTTCCTTCCTTCCTTCCTTCCTTCCTTCCTTCCTTCCTTCCTTCCTTCCTTCCTTCCTTCCTTCCTTCCTTCCTTCCTTCTTCCCTTCCTCTCTCTTCCTTCCTTCCATCCTTCCTCTCTCTTCCTTCCTTCCTCTCTCTTCCTTCCTCTCCCTTCCTTCCTTCCTCTCCCTTCCTTCCTCTCTCTTCCTTCCTCTCTCTTCCTTCCTCCCTTCCTCTCTCTTCCTTCCTCTCCCTTCCTTCCTCTCTCTTCCTTCCTTCCTCTCTCTTCCTTCCTCTCCCTTCCTTCCTTCCTCTCCCTTCCTTCCTCTCCCTTCCTTCCTTCCTCTCTCTTCCTTCCTCTCTCCTTCCTCTCTCTTCCTTCCTCCCTTCCTCTCTCTTCCTTCCTCTCCCTTCCTTCCTCTCTCTTCCTTCCTTCCTCTCCCTTCCTTCCTCCCTTCCTTCCTTCCTCTCCCTTCCTTCCCCTCCCTTCCTTCCTCTCCCTTCCTTCCTCTCCATTCCTTCCTTCCTCTCCCTTCCTTCCTTCCTCTCCCTTCCTTCCTCTCTCTTCCTTCCTTCCTCTCCCTTCCTTCCTCCCTTCCTTCCTTCCTCTCCCTTCCTTCCCCTCCCTTCCTTCCTCTCCCTTCCTTCCTCTCTCATTCCTTCCTTCTCTCTCCCTCTCTCTTCCTTCCTCTCCTCTCTCCTTCCTCTCCCTTCCTTCCTCTCTCTCTCTCTTCCTTCCTCTCTCTTCCTTCCTCCCTTCCTCTCTCTTCCTTCCTCTCCCTTCCTTCCTCTCTCTTCCTCTCTTCCTCTCCCTTCTCTTCCTTCCCTTCCTTCCTTCCTCTCTCTTCCTTCTTCCTCCCTCTTCCTTCCTTCCTCTCCCTTCCTTCCTCTCTCTTCCTTCCTTCCTCTCCCTTCCTTCCTTCCTCTCCCTTCCTTCCTCTCTCTTCCTTCCTTCCTCTCCCTTCCTTCCCCTCCCTTCCTTCCTCTCCCTTCCTTCCTCTCCCTTCCTTCCTTCCTCTCTCTTCCTTCCTTCCTCTCTCTTCCTTCCTCCCTTCCTTCCTCTCCCTTCCTTCCTCTCCCTTCCTTCCTCTCCCTTCCTTCCTCTCCCTTCCTTCCTTCCTCTCCCTTCCTTCCTCTCCCTTCCTTCCTTCCTCTCTCCTCCTTCCTTCCTCTCTCTTCCTTCCTCTCTCTCTTCCTTCCTTCCTCTCTCTCTCTTCCTTCCTCTTTCTTTCTTTCTCTCTCTTTCTTTCCTTCCTTCTTTCTTTCTTATTTTAAGTGAATTCCAAACTAAACCAAAACAAATGGAAAATTTTCTCTTTTTTTTTTCAGAAAAAAAAAAGTTTTAAAATATCTATCTTATTTAGGCATAAGAAAAAGTGTTGGGTTTTTTTTCTTTTTCTTTAAATTGTGCTGCTGCTGCAGAAACTGCCAGTGTTACTTGATTTCACTGCATGGAAAACATAGAAATTCCAGGTCTCCAGCAGCCTACTAGATAGTTATTTAACAAAAAGAGTGCTGTGATGCAGTAGAAGATCCTGAAAAACCAACATTATTTTAGGCATTTTATAATTTTCCAGTAAAAATTTTATTTCCCCTGTGAAAACTATTTTACCACAGATTTCATGATCAGTTCCAACTCTGTTTCCAGGGAGCTCAATTCTTTTCTGTATAGTCTCATGTTCAGTACCACACAAGAGGGAATGAGCAATATATGTATCTTACGCATTGTTCCATGAACCACCTCAGGGTGCTAGTGGTACCTGCTCTGCTGCTGTGGCAGCCTTGTCAGAACCCAAGACAAAGCTACCTGAGGGCAGTGTTAGTAGTATTGTGTTTTCAACCCATCTTCTGAAACACTTCTCTGAAGTACACAGGTTAAGAAAAGTTTTAAAACACACTCTCAAATGTTACAAGCAGCTTTTGTAACATTTTTATGAATATGAAATATGTTCTGGAAGGACTTCTTAAACCAATACCTGAATTTAAAAGAATAAACCTTTGCTTCAGCAGCAGCAAATGTTGTTGCTTTCTTGCTCCCCAGCTATTATTTCTTCTACTCACTCTTTCTAGGACATTTAGATATCTTCACAGGACCTTAACATTCAGTGATATTGAATATAAGGAGAAATTAGAGGTGATCCTCTTTGTTCTTTCAAAGAGCTCTTCTTTCCCATTTTCTCCTCTCCACTGAGGATCCCCCTACCAACAATCACTCAATTTGCTTGAGCTGTGGAAGCTCAGAATAGCTCAAACACATCTTCCCTTGGTCTTCTCTTGCTGGTACATCCACACATTTTATAAAACCATGTCTTTGTAATTGATAAATGTACCTTGGAAAGAGTTGCTAGAAGATACTTAGAGACATTTCATTAGGAGCAGGTTGTTGATGCCAGAAGCTTCTATTCAGTTGCCAGTGAAAAGCCCATATAAATCCTGCTTTTTAAATATGCAGTTTTTATAAACACATTAAGTGCTTATTACACTGACTCTGACATATGAGTCAAAGGGTCCACATACCCTAAAAACAGCCAGGTCTGCAGCTGAGCAACACAAACCAAAAGCCACAGTTTTACAAGAAGAGACTGCAAACAGAATAAGGATTCACTGATTTCACTTTCCATATTTCCATTTTAAAGACAAACAGGATCTTTCTGATTTGAAATGAGACTTCTCAGTCATTAAAATATGTCTGACTGGAGACACAAAAAAGCAAACTGTGTCCAGCCACAACACATTTATTATTTATCCTACCCTATTTATATCTCACTCTGAGGGATGTACGCAATAGACTGAATCCACATTTGTTCCCTACATTCCTTCTCACAGCTGAGAAGATGCAACGAATCATAAAAGGTCTCATTGTTGCAATGTTCTTTTATGGTATGTGTAATCAGCACAGACCCTGTTAAAGAGGCTTTGGAGGATGAGAAGTTTAAATATTTAATGGTTTTCTGCCTTTGATAAGTTTAATAATTAATGTTGCTCCCACCCTGGAAATGACAAATCATACAACAAGCACACATGATAAAAGAGACAAACACAGCTAACAAAGAGGAAAACTTTACTTAGAAAGTAGTAATTAAAAACCTCTGTAGCATACCTCAGGATCCCACAGTACTTTGCTGGCAGAAGTAAATTCTGCCTTTCCACCCAAACAGCAGCTCTGCCTATGTGTTAAGCTACCTAATTTTTGAGGGGATGCAGAAGATGAGGGATAATTAAATGTTTACTTCAAGTCTTTACTTTTCATATTGAGAAATGATACTCAGATGTAACGAGTCAAACTGTTCTAAAGACTTTTGCATTCACAGGAGAGAAAAGGAAGAACGGGGAAGCTGTTGTCCCTTTATGTTCTGCACAGAGGAGCCAGCCATTGAGTCATTACAGAAACTTGTTACGTGGCAGGCTAAGAGCAATACTAGATCTGTGCCTGGGTCTAAACAGTGTCATAGCTACTCCGGCTCCAAGCAGTATCTACAAATACTGGGTCTTGTCACCTTCTGAATAATGTTTTACAAGATGCTACCAAGAGTACCTTTCTCTGCGTACATGCTCCTTCACATCCACTCCCACTGGCGATCTGCAGGCATATGCAACCTTCAACCCCCACTGGCTTGTAGCTAAAAGAAAATTCATCTCACACACTGCTGCGCTTCAGTGCTGCACCACACTTGGGTAAATGCAACAGAATTAACATTGAAGGAAAGCACAAAGCATGACAGTAATAAAATCTTCTGTGACTCACTCAATTTAGAAACATTTTCAAATGGTTAGCATAAGAAGTCTGTCAGACGAAGAGGGTGAGAACTTTGACACAAACATTGCCACTGTATCCTTCTTTCAGGGTAGGAACCATTTTCCCCAAGCCCAGATCTGACATAATCATGTTGTGGGAGAAGTAGGTATATGCAGAAAGTGATTCACCTTACCTTCAGAGATGCCTAAATGAGGTCAGGTGACTCATTCCTCCTACTGAAATCAAGATCCAAGTGTGACTGTTTCAGACTGAGACACATAAAACCTTGTAGATGTGTCAGTTGTACATCTATGTGAGCACACAGTAAGTAGTGCCAGGACATGGGCACTGGTGCTTAGGCCCCTGCACTGCCAAGCTGCTGGAGCACTCTCTGATACCCTTCTGGCTGACACCCATCTAGTTCTCTCCTGAGCAATTCTCAAGCGCAGGACTATTCCCAACAGGTAATCTGGGTGAAGCAACCTTGCTTGGGAGGCTATTAGAGTTGAATAAATAAAATGTGACCAGACTGGGCCAGCTAACACCAGGGAAAGGCAGAGAAAGGTATTTCCATGGCATTGCTAACAATCAGTAAGATACGGGGGTTTTTTACACATTAACACTTTGCTACAGACAGTGTGTTTTTATTTTATTCACTGTCTACTCTTCTTGCTTGAATATCCTTTCTTCAGGGCTTTGAGAATATAGTATGAGGAGACAAATTAACCTTGTGAGAGCAGACAATGTACAACTGTGTTTAAAAGTCACATCTTTCATAAGCTCAATCTTTTGCAATAAAACAAGGTCAGGGTAAACAAGTGTTCACAAGTACTGCGGGAAAACCAGGTCAGTCACATCAGTGACAGGCAACAGCTTTTTGAAGTCACACTCAGAAAAACAAAAATGTGTTACATTTTTCAAAGAACAGTTCCCTTAATGTAATATCCTTCAAACGCCAGTCCAAGGTTTTTGCTTCCTCATCAGTGGAGGAACACACCACAGTAGAATGTCTCTGCAGCATAACCACAGCTGAGGGATCTAGCTGAAACTACCTGAAACCTTGTCAGTGATGCAATGACTTGTTCTGCCAGGTTCACAGGCCAATGGTTGCTCAGGGCTTTACACCCATTCTGACTTTTTTGACCTCAAACAACTAGTACTGCTGTAATTTGACTGTGCATCAGAAGTTTTTAGCTCAGCTGAAGGGTAGTATCCTAAAAGCTTACTCTGAACTACAGAGGAAGAAACTCCAAGGCGAGACTTGATCTGAGGTCTCAAAGTCAGCGCGGTATCTTTAATGAAGTCTTGCTGAAGCATGGGTCTCACTTGCCCACATGTAGTTCCTTGGTGGTCACCAGCACACAAGGGTTCTTCAGCACTATCTTCTTTAACAGCAAGATCTCCTGGTATACAAGGCTTATTGCTGTCGCTGTTAAGGTTAGTGCTAGCATTTTGCTGAGAGACCACTTCTGGATGAAGAGCAGCCTCTTCTTCCTCTTCAGAGAGAAGTGAGCAGGAGCCATCACTGGTCTGGCTGCTATTTGATACTGGATGGTCCTGATTTTGGGGTGGAGAAGAGCTACCATGCTGTACTGGGGTAAGGTTTAAAATGCACTCATTCTCTTTATGCAGGTTTGCCAGCATCTTGTTCTTTTGGTTTCTTACTGTCATTCTGTGGAGAGCACAGCAAAGATCGGCAAGGCTAAGCAGAAAGGTTAGGCTGCTGAGTCCCCAGATGAAAATCATCATGATGGATTTCTCAGTGGGCCGAGAGATATAACACTCAACCGCGCTTGTGCAAGGTGAATGGTAGCAGGAAAAGCGCTCAGGAACAAAAAATCCAAAGAGAAAATATTGCACAGCTGCAAAGGCAGCCTCAAGTAGTGTCCTAAAAAGAAGATGAACAGTATATGCCCCAGAAAAATCAAGGACACTTAGGCTGTCTGCACCACAATCCAATTTACTGACAACAACACTTCTACAGAGCTCTTTCAGGTCTTTGGGGCTTGATAAGCCCTTATTCTCTTTGCATCCATGTGCCAAACAGTGCATTTTTACAATGTACGTAGCTACTTTGTGCAGAACATAAATGCTGAATGCAGCATAAGGTAGCAGGATAGACACAGTCTGAATGAGCCAGAATCTAAAGTGAGAAACAGGAGAGAACAAGTCATAGCAAACATTGGAGCATCCTGGTTGGAGGGTGTTGCAGACAAAGCGCTCCTGCTCGTCTTGGTAGAGTGGATAGCCTGCTAATACTACCACTGCCATTCGCAGCATAATTACTAACATTAGCCAGATCTTTCCTAGAAGGGAAAAAAGGTAAGAAAAAGAGTCAGAGCACTGAGATTGAAAGGAAGGCATGTACAACAGTGATATGCTCTCTCTACGCAAAACATTTGAAGAACTAGCCTCTGTAATCCTCCTTAATAACTCCTCTTGAGTTGTGTTTGGATTTGGTCTGAAAGTTGTGCGAAAACATGTTAGGTGACACATTCCACAACCTTCATCTAGACTCGACAGTGTAGGAGTTTGACATACAATAATCCATGCCAATGCAAACCTCAGCCTAATGAAAACCACTCTGAATATGTCCAAATCTAATAAAAAGAGTTCACAATTAAGTTAATCCCATTTCATTTACAGTTCTTCCTTGCTGTTGGGTTCATACCTCCACACCCAAATTTTGTCCAATTTTGATAATATAGATCAGCTAACACAGTATGAAACTTCTACATACACAACATTGTTCCATGACATAGTATTTGTTCTTGGTCTTGGTCATGAAATTGTATGTAAATTTTACTACAGTAAAGAAAATATCTCTGTTGTGTCTAGACTGGCAGGTACTAGTGAGCTAGTTAAAAAGTGCTATGAGGAAACATATGAAAGATGTTCTACAAATGTACATCTATGTGTGTACATGTGTAGCCCAGTCATTGCTCTCTGCTGTTTCTTTAGTTGCCTCACCTTGATCACATCTTCCAACATTGGTGAGCAGCTTCTCTCTCCATTCAGACCAAAAGCTCCCTTCTGTCTTGATACCAAGACCAAGTGAAGCCTTACAAGCTTGGCATTTTCATACATTGCTTACTTCATCTTTCCCTGAATTCTTTCTTATGATTGTAGGGCTTGGTCTCATCCACTTTGATTGGAAAGATCAGGCCTTACACTCATTGCATTACAATAACACTGGAAGATCAGACATTGGTACACAATGTATCATATCTTTTGAATGAGACTATATTGTTCATTACAGTTTCTTGGAGGACTTTGGATGAAGTAGGTTCTTATAAAAAGGGTTGTTTTTTTTTTTTGTAGTTGCACACACACTGCTGTATTACTGACAAACTTATTCATTAAAAAAAAGGAAAAAAAAAAAGAAAATAGGAGAAAAAATTATTTTTTTTTTTTTTTTTTGGACAAGACAAGAAGGCCTAAAGATACACTGTTACATTGTCAACAAATTGAAAATTTACTCTGTAGAAACGCATGGAAAAAAACATCTTAAGTTTAGTGCTTGGATTTCTCAAGTTTCCTTTTGAGTCCTGTCACAAGCTCCCAATATAATTAATTTAATTTAATAATCTGCTGCCTTAATTTCACATATTTTTAAAATGTGCCAAGGTAAGTGGAAAAAACCTAAACACTTATGAACAAAAAGCAAGGACACAAAACAGGGAAGAGTGATAAGATTAATTCTGTGCTTTAAGGAATGGTTAAAAAGCCAGTTGTAGCTATAGACAAACAGCAAGAGTCAGTGACTTGAAAGAAGAACATTATATGGAGTTAATGACTGAGAAATGCACTGAAAATCTCAAGTCATTAATAGTGATTGCACATCTCACATGCAGACAAGGTTTTAAAGGCAGTTTGAGAAACAACACCAATACACATTCTAAAGGCTTTTTAAAAATCCAGATCCCAAAGCATTTTTTCTTATAAAGTATATGATTATTTACAGGTATTGTCTTGAATAACATTCTTTTCTGCTTTCCATAAAGCTATTTCCCTGTAGTGGGTGTGAATATTAAAATACTCAAACATTTGCTCAACACTGTATGATAGCTGTTGTTGCACTGGACATGGAGTTTAAATGCCCCATACAAACCATTTGTGGAAAGTAGGCTGATTATGGGCTAGAACAGTAAAACTGCACCCTGAAGTGGAAAAACTTCAGCTGCAATAAGGTTAAGGATATAGAAGCCATATGAGAAATGATCAGAAAAAATTGCTGCTCCCAGCAAAATAATATATTGTTTAACCATAAATTAATTGAAGCCTTTTCATTTTACCTTTAATCATCTGAACTTTAGTGGTGGCTTTGCTGTGCTTTCAGCTTCCTGCATTTTGGTGATAGGCTGTACTAGTACTCTCTTTCCAACATTGTGTGGGTCAATAGAAAAAAAACCATCTGCACAGAATCAGTAACCTTCTGTAAACAATGTTTCATCCTTAGGTAGCATTTTTTCCCTGCAAGGACCTCAAAGTGCTTGAAGCACATTAGTTAATTAAGTTCAAAATACTACATGCTATTTCACTATCAATTTTTAATTAGAACATGTACAATAGGGAGTGCTGCTTAAGAAAAATCAATGGCTCCTTAGGAAGTAGTTTAGTATGACATACATTTTAGAGATAACCCCTCCACATATCACCTTCCCTAATGACTCAGTTTTGATTGAACATACAAGAACAAGCCCCTTCACCCCCCTCCCCTGCGCCTTAGTTGAATATTCCCTGCAATGCACAGCACAAACTACAGCAGCTGTCCATGAATGGAGGCAAAGGGTCTTTGAAAGGCCCTTGAAAGTTTTTCTCTGGCTCACACTTTGCTCAAAGTAGCCCATGAAAAAGAACAGTGTCTTATTTAAATATGGAGGAAAACGGGGAAGTGCTCAGGTGACCGCTGAGGAAAAAACAATTGTATTTCTTTTAAATCATGTGAACTTTGTTCATTTATAAAGCCTGAAAAGCAATGGTAATTAACCACAACTGGAATAAACCAAAAACTTCTGCCTGTAAAAGAGAGGTTTTTTTTTGCCCTTTAAACTTTTTAATTCACTGCTAAAGCTATTGCATACATTCTACCATTCACTTTCTGTGGTATAAATTAAAGCATTACTCCTGTGTGTTTTCACCTTGACACCTACAGCAGCCATTAGGGCTGACTGGAAACTCAGGCACCAAGAGCAGCCAAATTTTAAAACCCTGTCAGAATACTGTGCATAAACTTCAGGAAAAAAAAAACTCTATGAGAGAAGGAGCAGGAATCTGTTTAACAAGAAAAGAAAGACATTAAGCACTCATATCATTTATCTAAAGAACAGCTTCTTATTATAAGGATCACAGAGGCATAGCTAGAAATTATCAGTAGGACATTTGGGTGGCTTCAGGATACAGAGCAGCTAAAGAAAGAAGAGGCTCTTTTAAAGTACTTACCGACAATAGTCACGTTATAGTTGAGTGTGACAATCAAAAATCCCAGCGAGTCCCAGTGTTCCATCTTTGAACAGGCTCACAATACCTCCAGCGTCTGATGTCCTAACGATTTTGGCATTTCCAAAGGAGATGAGACCTAGACAGGGAAGAAAGAAAATAAAAAAGAAAAATAATTTTAAGGGTAAAGAATGGAAATGAGCAACTTGGACACAAGGACGTATGGATCATTATTTTGATGATCTAACTGTTAGTTTGGGATGCTGAAATAAATAATCTTAAGGCTTTAACACTTTGTCTTGCAAAAGCTCTAGCTTCTCAGGTCCATTTGCTCCTACCTCTTGTGTGGATCTTCTGTCCAGACAACTGCAAGCAGACAAACAACAACAGGAGTTATCTCTGCCATTGTAGGCTATTCTTACCCTCTGGGGCATACCAGCCTCCTGGCATTGCTGAGATGCTTCAGTGGTGAAAGACAGGGAGAGGGGAGAGAAGGAAGAAAATCATAGACCAGGAAAAGAGACCTCTCTGCAATCCCATGAGAATGCAGATGAATAATGGAAGGAAAAGGGACAGAAAAGGATGAGCATCCCTATGTTTGAAAGGCACTTTCAGCTTAGTTCACTAGAAGCTATCTTTTTGCAATTTCCCAAAGCAATTTTGTTTCTAAAGCACAGCCTCCCTGACAGGACACCATGGCCCTGTCAATCACAGCCAGACCAGCTTTCCTCCTGTGTGCTGAGCCAGCCAGCAGGTCGAGACTCCCCGCAGGCAGGATGAAAAACAGGGGAAGCTTAGGAAAATAAAAGGAAGAACCAAGAATAGGGCTGTTTTCCAAGATGCACAAGTCACTTACTTTTAATCTATATTAGTTCTTTCTGCCTAAACTGTTTGGTACTCTGGGCGTCACTCAGAAAATCTTAAGGCTGTTTGCCCAGCTTCCTGAAACCGCAGCAAGCCTCTGCAACAATAATGGAGCAAGCCACCACCTCAGAGCAGGACACCCTTGGGGTGAGCACTTCTGGACTGCTTGGTGCAATTGCACAGTATGTCTTCAATGTCATGCGACTGTGCTGTACCCCAGGAAAAAAGCACGGATGGAACCGAGAATCTCAGCTGTACACAATTCCCTTGCAGAAAATAATCTACTACCATCTTCCACCCACTGTTCAACTACTTACGGGATGTTACTCTGTCCTTTTTAGTTTGTGTTGTCCACTTAATGCAGATACTTATTTAGTATCAGTAACTAGAAAAAAAGCTGAAAAAGGAGTCTAAAAGTGACATGTCAACAACCATTTCTTCTGCTACAGAGTTTTATTCATGGTGTGTGATGATGGTTTTATCTTCATTGCCCCAAACACACACAATTTTATTTTTTCTGAGTTGTGTGTGTGTGTGTATGCAAGAAGTATGGAAAGGAGGGAAAGCTGGAGGAAGGGAACAGAGAAAAATTGCAAATGGGCAGGATATAAATGATGCTAAGGTATGAAGGTATTCCTTGTTAAATGTCCTTTGTCAAAAATAGAGTCAGGAATGCCAAGATGGTGGCAGGATATGAATGCTCAGCAGCTGCATGCACACAATAGGCTATAAATTGTCCCTGTCAATATTGCCAGTTAAAATATCCTTGCTCGTTGTTGCTGTGAGACCTCCACCATTTGTGAAAGAAGGACAGCAGCTAGGGACTTAAGCTCTCAAACTGCAGCCTGCAGAACTCTGTCAGACAACAACTTCTGATCCCACAGCATGGCCAAACTGAATTAGGATGGCCCATTTTCTTCTAAAAGAAAGGAAGCACCATTACTCTCCAGGCTCACCATGTGCCTAACTTAGGGCTGGAATTACATAGGAAAGCCTAAATTTTATTTTAGCTTTTCCAGACAACTTCAGGGTTGTTGTGGTGGTTTTTTTTAAATTTTAGTTTAGTTTAGTTTTTCCAAACAGCTTGTATCTTACTTCAGTCAAGCACTTCCTTCTGTGGTATGTCCTCTTCCCAGGTTCAAACTGGGAAGGGACCCAGTCTGTCTAGGAGTCCATGACACCTCAGAGCCAGCAGTGATCTATTGCATCTTGAACTCTCCTTTGGCTGTGACCTGGAGCACTTTTGTAAAAGAAAGGCAGGGAGCATAAACATAACCAATGTCAGGGCATGCACTACAGTGACAAAAACTGCTGTTGAAGCACAGCCACGTCTGTAGAAGGATAAAAACACAGGCCATGGGCCTGCTCTTCAAGTCACTATCATCAGTCTGACTTAGGGCTGTGGGCTGGGTGGTCATTATAAAGTGTTTGGTCTCTGCAAAAGCATAGCCTGTAGTTTCTTCATCCCTTGACTCAGCACTATCTTTCAGGCCATAGTTCCCACCTGAAGATACTCAATATTGTATTTGAAGGTACTCAGCATACAAGCCCCTTTGTTTATTATCTTTCATTAGCTATTCCCTGTACTCCCTGTTTCTCTGTAAAGACTGTAAGTAAATAGGGAGAGCAGTATTACAGACATGGATATATTAAAAGAGACTCCATCTCTGCAGTGCCACCAGTTGGTACGGCATCTTCTTCCACATCAGAGGACAGGCACGTGGCACACACAGCCTCATCCCTCCATACATGTTGAATACTAAAATCTCACAGACAACTATTCCAGGCTATAAAGTTGTCAAATGAATTGCAGTCAATTCCAGTTAAATGAAAGAGGCAGGTAGAAAAACTGACATGGCTTGAGTAAAGCTGAACTTGGAAACCCAGTATCTCATCATGTCTGATTTTAGAAGGGGTCCTAAAAGCTACTGGAAAACTTTCAGAGACCAACAATGAAACATAAGAAGTTCCATTTGAATCTATTTTAAAATTCACAACTGCTGCCCACATATCTAACCCCTTACCACAGATCCAAGGTTTGATCCTGCAGAAATTCACAGATGTGACGCTGGTACTGTGAGTGACTCACTAAAACTGTCTGAACTACAGGGACTGCATCTCACTGTGGACCTGTGTCATGTCCCTAGGCTAAGACCTTGGTTACTTGGCACAAAACAAAGACACCTCACATAGAGCTTGGATCAGAATGACATCCAGAGGTAATGCAAAGGTAGCTGGAAGCCACTTCAGGGCTTCCCAATGCAGGATCCAACCAGTCACCTGAATGGTGCCACAGCCTACACCATATGCCAACCCCTGCTCCAAACACTAGAGGCATTCCTCTGGTAAAGCAAATCCCAACCACAGCTATTATGCAGCCGCCATCTACACTAATGACATGTCAGTGTAGTGAAGAGGGAGTTTCTGCAAGCGATTGTGCCTGACAATAAAGCAATCTCTCTCTACCAATTTGAGTAACATTAAGGCAAAGTGGGTCAGCAGCATAGCAGCTTCCCCAGTATAGAAGGGAGTCTGGCATTTTGGTCCAATTTCTTTAGCAAATTATTTTTTAAGAAAGAAAAAAACACAGACGTATATCTAATGTTTTAAAGTCTAAATTTAAAATCTATTTAGAATTTTTCTAGTTAGCAAAAAATGGTGTATTAGTGACCAGTTGCAGTAAATCTAGCTCTTCTAGAAAGTGATCTGTAAATCAAGGGGAAAAAAATTCTATTCAGGAGGGACAGTAAATATCAAAACTCAGTTAATCTTGATGTCCTTATTTTTAATCTTTATGAAATGGAGCAGAAGGACAGCGAGCTAGCCATGAAGGAAAATAGCAAAAAAGGAGCAGGAAAAGCTGCACAGAATAAATGTTCTTTTAAAGACATAAATAGTGTATATGCATGCACATAAATATGTCAGACAATCTTCAAAGTAATCCCACAGTGTGTGTAAAAGCGTACTATAGAATACACATAGCAAAGGAGCCAGCATAGCGTGGAAAGCCCTTGCTTTACGCAGGCACATGCAGTGCTGCACACTCTGCATTCCTGGGGACCTCCGTCTGTCTGCTGCTTGGATATCACTGCAGGCAGAATGTGTTCAAAAGCAGCCTCTCCCCAAAACAGCTACTGTAGCTATACAGACGTGGTGAAACCAAGAATATCACAACTCCAGAATTAGGGCTATGGACACTACACACATGGAGGCGGAAGAATGGTGAATGTTCTCCATCATCCAATGGGGAGCTTAAACAACGTGTACCTACTCCCCAGCCTCAAACGCACTGGTCCCAAGAAGTGGCATAGTTCCAAAGGTCTTCTAAACTTACAAAATCATGTTCCTTCTAACTTACAAAAATCATGTTCCTCTCCCCCTTCCCTTTTGATCTTATACTCTCAGGAAGGAGACGCATCCATTCATGCTCAAATATATATATATGTCTATGTGTGCATGTGTGAAACAGCTCAGAAGGACATCCAGAACAGCTCATTTTTAACTGCTCATATTGATTGGACTTGATAACTTCCACGCTAGCTCAGTGACCTCAGATACTTAAGCCTGCTGCCTATAGTGCCTTGCATATGTCTTCTTGTCTCCGTCTTCCCTTGATAACTTAGTAAATCTAAAAAATGTCTGTGTTCTACTGCATAAGCTTAAGGATTTAAGCTGTTCTCTCCCTTTGCCTCAAACAGATCCCCTCACTATAAATATTTGAAAGGTCATCTTTCTGAAGGGAACCCACTCCTAAGAGGACACAAATGGAAAAAGCAGCTCTCCTTCAGACTTTGGTTCAGCAACATCAAAGCTATTCAGCCAGGAACTTTAAATATTTCAAGACTGATCTGAAGGGAAATTAAGTAATGGGAAGTATACTCTCATTCAGGAGCTCAGGGCCAATTTCTTCAAAACTATTTAATTTTACTAAGTAGTAAAGGTACAAAGTGAGTCCATGGGATTTTCAAAAGCACATTACTAATATCTGCTTAACCCCCACTGAACTAGGTAGTATGACATTATTACTCAAATTTGCTCTGCTGTAACTCAGATCTAGTATACCAGAGGTTCCAGCCATTTTTAGGGTTTTGCACTTAAGATTTGACCTTTTTGCACAGTGCAGATGCAAACCTGAAGGTTTGGAAAGTTCTGGGATCCTGTATTTTATGATGATGCTGGTGATTTCATGTTTTATTAGTGCCCAACAACTGACACTAATGAGAGGCTAAGATCTTTCACTCAAGCAGGTCCAAACCTTTAGACAGGCAAAAAAGACCAACCCATGGTGTGTTCATATAATAGAAATTGTTTAAATAAGAAAAATGCCTTAAGTAATTCGGAAATAGATTTTATAATAAACAGGGGTGGCAAGAATATCTTTGGCTGACTATGCCTTAAATGTAGTGCTTAGATGCTATCACTTTTCAGTATGAACATTGCTG